AATTGAAATTAAAATAAAAAATGTATATTGTTTAATTATTTATAATTATTTATTATTTTTAACTGTATAATTTATTAAATTGTTAAATAAAATATATTAATTTAATTATTTACTTAATATGTGGGATATCATTTATCAAACCACAATATATTAAAATATATTATAATCTAATATAAATTGAACTCGTTTATTGCAAAATAGATGTTTAATATTTAAAGGATATACCCGTATCAAATGCACTTTCTGTATTATTTATCATCTATGTAATTATGAACAAAATTATTTTTAATCTTACTACCGTAATAATCTAGCATAACAAATATTGTATAAAAGTAAATAAATAGTATAAAAACACGAATAGTATTAAAGGGACACATTATACATTTACCTGGATCCCAACTATATATCCAAGCAACAAACCTATATAAACAGTTAATTTATCTGTTATTTTAAAATTATTTCATATTAGCATAAAAATGCCTAAGTTTGTAATACTACTATTTGTTGTACTTTATAGTAAGTATATAAATTATATATAATGACATCATTATTAATTAATTAGTAGATATTAATTAATGTACATAACACTGTTTGAGCAGGCACGTTAGCTCGCAAGATGTTGCTACTGAACCTCCATATCGTCAAGATTTAGATGATAAGGCCAATGCACTTATCGATGAGGGAATGGAACTGTACTTTGAACTATTAAATCAACAAAAAGTAGTCCAGGCCAATTCGGTTAAATATGATTGTGACAGGCTGATTGACTCGGAAACGTCATATTCATTGAATGACCACCCAATAGAAATTATTGCTTATACTGTGTCTACTGTTTATTATTGAATTTAAAATAAATATTTGAAATGAATTGTTATATTTTTTAGAAATAAAGTTGTAATGAGTGATAGACATGGAATCACCGAAAGATTTTTGTTATGAATATTTTAGTCTAAATTCTTGTGTTTTATACATATATTTAATTGAATCAATTCTTGTATTTGTGTCATTAGTTTTCTAAACTTTTTTCTAATTTTAACAAATATTTATTTAATTATATTTCTACTGTACTTTCATTAAATTTTATTTCTAAATAAAGAAATCTTTTTAAAGTGTTTATCTTGTAGTACTTATATAATAAATTACTAAATCTTTGAACTGAATTTTGTAAGTTTAATATCTGATCAGAAGTTGATTATACAAACTTTGTAATTTACAAATACATACCGTTAAAAGTTATCAATAAAAGTTAAAATATTGATCAAAAATTGTAGATTGTCTAGGTCTTAATTCTTATAAATATCGTTCTACTGTTTATTATTGAATTTAAAATAAATATTTGAAATAAATAGTTATATTTTTTAGAAATAAAGTTGTAATGAGTGATAGACATGGAATCACCGAAAGATAAAGATAAGCCAAAACCCGAAACTGATGCCAAAGACAAACCAAAACCTGATATCAAGTCTGACAAGAAGGCAAAGGAAGATACAAAGAAGAAAGTGGAACAGTTAATGGCCGACTCAAAGATGTGTCATTAGTTTTCTAAACTTTTTTCTAATTTTAACAAATATTTATTTAATTATATTTCTACTGTACTTTCATTAAATTTTATTTCTAAATAAAGAAATCTTTTTAAAGTGTTTATCTTGTAGTATTTATATAATAAATTACTAAATCTTTGAACTGAATTTTGTAAGTTTAATATATGATCAGAAGTTGATTATACAAACTTTGTAATTTACAAATACATACCGTTAAAAGTTATCAATAAAAGTTTAAATATTGATCAAAAATTGTAGATTATCTAGGTCTTAATTCTTATAAATATCGTTCTACTGTTTATTATTGAATTTAAAATAAATATTTGAAATAAATTGAGTTATATTTTTTAGAAATAAAGTTGTAATGAGTGATAGACATGGAATCACAGAAAGATAAAGATAAGCCAAAACCCGAAACTGATGCCAAAGACAAACCAAAACCTGATATCAAGTCTGACAAGAAGGCAAAGGAAGATACAAAGAAGAAAGTGGAACAGTTAATGGCCGACTCAAAGACAAGTCAGAAGAGCTCTTCGACGCCCATTTCGTTAAAAAGTTTGGAGACAAAGAGTACTCCAAAAGTCGATACTAAAGACTTAAAGAAAACTCCAAATGTTTTTGACTCTAAAGACCCTTTGAAGTCAAGTCCTTCCTCGAAGAATGTCCTCAAAGGTTCCGATAAGACATCAGACAAAAGCGCAGACAAGGACTCAAAAGTCAAAGATAAGAGCTCTTCCCTAACATCTATTCGGCCAAAGAGTATGGAATCAAAGGATGTCTCAAAGGACTTAAAGGGAACGTCAATGGATTTGTCTGAAAAGACTAAAACTGAATCCAAACCCAAGACCGACAATAAACCAAAAGCTGATGATAAGAGTGATTCCAAATCTGGGGCCAAAACACATGATTCGAAATCTGATGGTCTGGTGAACTATTTGGCCAAAAACAGTGAGAAGAGTTTGGACCCAACGGTCGGAACAAAAAGTGACTCCAAGTCTCCCGAGAAGAAGACGAGTACTTCTAAGAGCCAAGACTTAAAGCCGGCGCCAATCGGAAAAGATTTGAAGTCCACTCCAAACGTGTGGAAGTCTGACACCAAAGATACAAAACCCGACTCCAAAAGCGGTTCCTTAGACACCAAAACCGACTCAAAAGATAAGTCGAAAGATTCAGAAATCAAATCAGATCTGAAATCAAAAGATCAAATATCTGAGACCAAGTCATTTGGCAAATCCGAAAGTGATCCGAAAATGAATAAGACATCAGCCCTTGGTTTTGAGATACCCTCATCTGGAATCAAATCACTTGAATCCAGTGATAAGTCAGATGTAGGTCTCAGCTCAAAGATTAGTTCTTCAAACTCCGACATCACTTCCAAAGAGTCAACAGAAAAGTCGAGAAATTTGTCAAAAGACTCGGATATGAAATCGAAATTGGCTTCGAAGACAGCCCTGGGATTTGAAATACCGTCCTCTGGGATCAAATCACTTGAATCCAGTTCTCTGTCAAATGGGAGTCACGACTCAAAAACCAGTTCTTCGGACTCCAAAGTCGACTCAAAAGAATCCAAAGACTCTGATATGAAATCAGATGTGAAATCAAAAACTAGTCCATCATTTCCATCGAAGACAGCTCTGGGTTTTGAAATCCCTTCGTCTGGAATCAAATCATATGAATCGAGTCCTACAGCAGATATCGACTCAAAGACCACTTCCTCCGACTCCAACATCGCTCCCAAAGAATCAAAAGAAATTCCAAAAACAATGTCAGAAGACATTGCCATCTCATCCGATGAAAAGCCAAAAGATAGCAAATCCGAGACCAAACCACAAAGACCACTTCCTCCGACTCCAACATCGCTCCCAAAGAATCAAAAGAAATTCCAAAAACAATGTCAGAAGACATTGCCATCTCATCCGATGAAAAGCCAAAAGATAGCAAATCCGAGACCAAACCTGAAGACAAATCAAAAACCGATCATTCATTGGATAAGACACCAGATCTGACATTTACAAAGTGGTCCTCTGGGGTCAAACCACACGAATCCAGTGCTAAGACAGTGAAGAGTAAAGTGAAGCCATTAGAAGAGGCGTCTGTTGAGGTCGTGCGACCACAAGGGGGTGATGGAGATGGAGGACAGGATGGCAACAGACGACACACACTCATGGCTAGTGTGGTAGTGATGGCCATTGTCTTTGTCATCGCTATTGGTATCGTTCTCTTCAGACATTAAGCACACAATTGGCCAACAAATTGAAGGCATATTCTATGGAAATGTTATCTAAAGATTTGAAAGAAATTTTGAAATAAATACTAGACTTAAACTTAAATTCACAATAAATTTGGTTTTTTGATGTCAATTTAAATCTTTTAAATTGAAATATTTTAGAATAGATATTACTTACTCGTTAGTAAATATATATAAAAAACACAAAATTTACTCGATGTTTATTAACGTTAAAATTGTTTTATTGATTAATAAAAAATTAAAAGTTTAATATAAAAAATAAAAGTTTACAGTTTTAAACTTATACTCGAATTCAAGTATAGTTATTTTAGCAAAGGTTGGTGGTGGGGAGTAGAGTGGTGTAGCGGTTAGAGTGTCTGCTTAACAATAGCTAAGTTAACGTTAATCAATAGGAAGTGTATATGGGGACATGAGATCGCGCCCCAAGCTGGGAAAAATTATTTTTTATTAAAAGTTTGTTAAAAAGTTTTCAAGTACTTTATATATATATAACATATTTGTAATAAAAGATGTTCAATTGAGTAAATAATCAAATCTTACAGTAATGATCGCATGTTTTTGACTCATTGAATGAATTTTTGTTTGTAATTAGTCTTATCACATTATATAATTTAAAACATTTTAAAATAATTAATGAATGTCATATTCTAGTAGAATAATTCTACTATTATATCTTTGTTAATGAAGTTTTCGGCATAATGTTACAACCGTATATTATTTACTTTACTATTTGAAACTTTCAATTATAATTTGTAACAGAAATGTTACATTAAACTTCATAAGAAAATATTTAATAATTCAGAAATTGATTCAAGTACAGTAATATCAATAATAATCGATTATTTTAATGTTTAGTTATAAATGTTTTCGATTCTTTGTTCTGTGGGTATAATTGTGTTGAGTATTGATTCCTAATGCTATGAAAAAATTAGAAATTTCAGAATAATTATAAAAATCAATTCATATATAAAATACAAACTCACTTCTCATGAATATTACTCATGAAATTAATATCTATTTTTTCGATATCTATTTTATGTTCAATAAGACGCCCAAAAAGTCTAACTCCGAACTCGATATCAACTTTATTTATTTGTCCCAAATTTTTGTCGGATGTATACAACTGGGTGTATAGATAGCTGGATCTAAAGCTTAGCCAAGGTCTTTCAAATTTAATAGTCGTGTTTGCATTCACTTTGACACTCAATTTATTGAGACCCGGGTTCTGGTTAACATAAACCTTTCATTCATAGTATGAAATATTTGTAATGTATATTTTTATATGTTATTTAAGTTGAGAATCAAATTGTTTCATATTTACGACAATCTGATAGTGAAAGAGACAAAACGGATGCGCGTCGGATGTCCTCATAAAATAATTATTGGGAAACGTTGGCAAAGCCTTCACGGGATTAGTATTTGTCTCATTCATCCAATACTCCAAATTAAAGCCCAGTGGACGACATTTATCTCCATTAGCCCCACAGTCACCACATTTTCCAGAATAAAAATTTTCATAACTATCGCACCGGTAGGCTATCAATTGGCAACTATCAGGACTCCGCAAACTTCTATCAGCTATTAGTAATACAGGAGCCCTTTGGTGGTTACAATCACCAGCTAATGAACACAATTTTGTTTTTGATAATTATTAATTAAGTCAATTTTATTAAATGATAAACATTTTACTAATCTATGTTTAATCACAATACGTTTAAATGCGTTCTTGAATTGAGTGAAAACATTGTTATCGCAACCAGACTGTCCCGTCCCTACCGGTAATGCATTGTATTTAATTAAAATAATATTTTTTTAAAACAGTTAGCAAGACCTCCGTTTGGCCAGAAATCATAGTGTCCAAGGGGGTAAACATTTCCCAGATAACCGCTCAGTTGAATCGACAGTCCATCCCCACCTTTCATGTAAATCTAATGCTATTATATTACGTTATATATTGAATAAATTGTACAATTTATACCCCATTTAACGAGACCACTGCTTGTATGAGTGACCACTACTAGGGAGGCGTCTGTAGGCGCCAATCGGGTCAGTGAGTTGTTGCGCAAAAATCCCAAACCCGCCGGATCTAAGCCAGAGATGTACGCGATCTTAGGGTTTGTAAAATGTTTGCCACAAAATCCCATTATATGTGCCCCAAGACTATGACCCACCAAATGAATGTCTTGTAATTTCACTCCAATTGTGGTCAATGTGTTAATGAAATATGCAATCATTCCTCCAATGATTTTCGTATTAGAGACTACTGTATGATAATTATCATCTTTTAAATCTAAACCCCAGTCAACAAACACCACATTGAACTCGAATCTAATAAAATAGTCTTTCATATCCTTTCAAATAGTGTTTATAAAAGCATTTCAATATAAAATTAATAATTCTGTATAATAAAGTACTAAACGCATACCGACATCCAGGCATACTTTCCATAATAGTCGGTATAGCCATGGGTCAGGAATACAGTCTTGCGATTGACTAAGAAATTGGTTCTTTTAATGTCATCGACACTAGAATTGTAGACAAGTGTCTCATTGGTTGCAGAATAATTGATGGTAAACAGTAAAAAGTTGACATTTGTTGGACGTTTCTAATATGGGTTTAAATAAAATTATTACTAGGACCTTTAATATAGTATTCAATTTTTAACTTACGGTTTCACTTGCTGAGTTAAATCATAGATAATTATTAATAAAAAATGAATGAATAAAATAAATTTATAATATTAAACATTATATAATATAAAATTAATTGTAAACAAATATAATACCGGTATTAAAAATCAGATTACCTGCACAATTACAAATATGTATAATAAATATACATAAAATATATGTTAATGTAAACATGGAAATCAATTCAATTTTCATTTTTATTTCTAAATTCAGAATTTTTAATAAATTTAAAACCAATATTTCAAAGGAAATTATAGTATTTATAGAAAATAAATGTTATTATAACTTGTATTAACGGAATGACAAGTACAACTGTTATTATGATTTAATATGTTCTGGAATAAAATTTTTGTAAATGTTTATATTATATCAATAATATATATTTTTAGATATATTTTTATATCTTACTATCAAAGGAAATTGTTATTATTTGTTAATATTCTTATGTTTAAATTTCTACTTATATTATTTAAAATTTAATATATACTTAGTTTGTAAATGTGTTTTATAATATTTTATTTAGAATACAAAATAAAACATAGTGATTAAATCACAAAAATATAATTTGTATTACCGGTAATGATAAAATTTTAAAGTTAGTATAGAGATATTAGTTTTAGTTTAGCATTTTTGCAACTGTTTAATTATATAAATATAAACATGCTGAATTTTAAAACATTACAAAATTATTATAACTAATTTTTCTAGTTACAAAATAATTGGTGTTATGTTTACAGTAATTATTCTGTTGCACCAGTTGTTAAGTTTAGTGTAAATACAATTTCAAAACAACATTAAATTTTACAAATTTAAATATAAGGTTTATAAAAAAATTAATTTAATAACAAATATTTCTATAAATAGTTTTTTATAAAACATTTACAAGAGTATATAAAAGTATAATAATACTTTATTTACCATTTATAATAAGATATTGATTATCAAATGCATAAAACTTATTAGTAAATAATGGCCAATTAAGTAAAACTTTTTAGTCAACAGTTTACTAAAACTAAATTGTAATAACCTTAAAACTTAGATAGTACTTTTAAAATATAATAAAACAAAATAGTTATTGCACTTAATTATACTGTAAGGTATTCATCATTTATAGTAATCTATTAATTTGTTATCAAAATATATTATTCAGTAAATTAATAAAACCTATTCTAATTAATTTAAAAGTAATATTATACTAAAAGTTGGTTATGGGAACAATCAGATCTGGAATATAAATTCAATGTTAATAAGACTGTAATATTTTAATAATCTTATGAGAACTCAAATCTCATTTCAAACTCATATTCAAAGCAATTCTTGTCGAGAAATACTTTCACTTTTACAATAATACAGTATCTTATGAGCGATAAGTTATCATAAATCTCTGGATTAACATTTCCTTGCATTTCAAAGGCAATGACTGGGATTTACCTGAGATTTACCTGAGATTTCAGTTCAATTGAACTAAACTTTAGATAAAACTTTGTATAAAAGGTATGAAATCTTATTAAATCCCTTCATAAAGTGTTTTGCAAGCATTCAGTGAACAACAAAATCGCTTTTCATTTGATGCCGAAAATGAATTTTTCTGTAAAATATTTCTCACCATTAAAATCGGCACACATTTTGTTAACACCTTTTCCTACCATTCCTTTCAGACTTATATCCTCATCCTGTCTAAAATCGCTTTTCATTTGATGCCGAAAATGAATTTTTCTGTAAAATATTTCTCACCATTAAAATCGGCACACATTTTGTTAACACCTTTTCCTACCATTCCTTTCAGACTTATATCCTCATCCTGTCATCGATGGTATCGATGTCTGTGGCCTTCATCGTGGGCGGAGTGGGCGGTGGGTTCTCCTCGTCCGGCATCTCCTCCTCAGCCTTCTCTTCGGGCATCTCTTCGTCCTCGGCTCTGATCTCATCGCCGGTCGTCTCAGTGACCAAAACAGTGGTCTCGCAGCCGGTCATCACGAAGACAGTGGAGACATCAGTCATACAGCCGGCTGTGGTTCAGGAGACGTCTTTCATCGAGTCGGCGCCTGTCGTCAGTCACAGTCACCACTCGTTTGGCCAAAGTTTTGGCGCTTCTCAGGGCTTCAGTAGCGGTGGTGTTGGCGTCGGAATCGGCGGTGGGTTTGGCGGTGGTATAGGATTTGGCGGCGGTTTCGGTGTCTCCAAGAGTTTTGGCGCCGGCTTTGCCATCGGAAAGAAGAAGTGAAAACTTTATTTGATTTTTTAA